TTCCTTTCTGCAGAAAGGCGTCCAATTGTGTAATTTTTTATTAAATGTAAATCCAAACAAAATGTCCCTTTTTTAAATCTGGCAGTCACTGTAGTACACCTGATAACAACACTGATAAGTAATTTGCATTATATAAATTTCAATAGTATAGATATTAACACCGGATATAACCTATAATCTATAAATATAATTAAAAAGTGTATAATTAAAAAGTGTCAAAAATGGCGAATGCGACAGGATTAATAATGATATAAGTTTTTAAATATTTTTACATAATTTATTTGAGTAGGTACGTCTTTAAAACCATACCTGGGAAATATTTAATTTGTGCTTTCTTTATTTTACGACTCTCCAGCAATTTATAATTTTTAATTTATATGCATAATGCTTTAATGCCATAAAAAAGTACCATCGGGTAAATTTTATTCTTTTAATTTACTTTATTATTTATAAATTGCAAAAACACAAGCTTTTATTTGACCTTAGAGTGGACACGTTTTTATTTTTCTACCCTTTTAATAAGTTAATGTTTTTAATGTCTAGATTAGAGGTTTTTATGTTTATTAACGTTTGTGCTTCTAATATAAAATAAGGTCAATTTATTTATTATGAACATTTTATCAAGGCAGTTGTAAGTTTTTATAAAATAAATTAAACCATATATTTATTATAATTAAATTTTTAATTTATGTTGGTAATTTTAACCGCCTCAATGAAATTTGTAACAATTAATAAGTAAAATAAATAAGAATTAGTGTACCAAAACCCTTTGACGCTTAATGCTGCAAATTTACGCGATATGGGTATTATTACTATCATAATAGAAAATCCCAAATTAAGTAAAATTTGTACCATAGATTAAATTCATTGTTCCATTAAATTGTATTTTAAGTTTAAAGTCTTGTTGTTTTAGTTATTAATTAATTTAAGGATTTAACATAATAGTATATTATGTATCAAGTTTGATAAAGGCCCTTTTATACACGAAAGTTTATAAACGAGGTGCATACTATACTTTTTCTACGACATACTTATTATTATCTTAAAATGATTTAAATCAAAAATTTTTATAGAGCGCCATCTATGAAACAATAGGGGAATCTGTGTGTCACCGTCAAATGTCACATTTTTATATTATATAAACACATATTATAAAGGTTATAAATCAAAATGTATTTCTTGAAAATTGACAGTTTTTCACAGTGAAAGTAAAGAAAATGTTTTATGAGGACTTTACAGTGGAGTCCGTGTCCGAATTTAAGTTATAGTTTACTGCCGCACAGTGTTTCAATTCTGGAAAATATCGGCAAAACCTCAAAAATTGATATTTTTTTTCAGGTAAATTTTGAGTTAGATGGGTAGTTAATACCTGTCTCCATCCTGTATTGAAAAAAAATATATTAAAATACGTATATTTTCTTTTGTACATCAGTTTAAACTTGACGCTTTCAGTTGAAGGTACTTTACACGCGATCGCTGCGGAAAATTGTTTATTGTTTAAAAGTGAATAACTTGTGTTTGGTGTGTCCGATTGTTATGCGGCTTGATGAAGGGTGATCTTCAAGGTATCTAAAATTCAGATATGTATTTGTTTTTCGTAGATTTTGCTTATACAACGGGTTATTATAACCGACAAGATCGGTCTGTTAAAATCGCAAACTTTGAATCGAGCTTTTAGAACAATGGAGCTACAAAAATTGTAATGAATTGTAAGGCATCAGTTTAAGATCCGTTAAATAGCTTAGAGTTTTGTCTATCAAGCCATCAATAAATTAGCTGCCCCAACTTGCCCCCGGCTCTTTAAAACTACATGTTCTTGGGCGCTCAGGCACGGTTGTGGTAAAAAACCTCGCGATTTTAAGCCTATGTCGAGCGCGTATCTGAGTTTTTGCTTTACAAAATATAAGATTTTTTTATTTTTGGGTTGCGTTTATGACGTTTACTCGATTCACTCGGATTTAACTCAAAATGTTTATTACAACAGCGGTGTCTAGACTTTCACCTGCGTAAATCGTTTGTGACTACTAAGATATTTAACACCGATTTTACATATTTAACCCACCTCTTGTAGGTGCGTTAAAACAACTCCGCATGCGCATTGTAGTGTGTTAATGTCAAATTTGAATTGTGGTTATTTGTGTTGACAATTTTTTTAGCGAATTAAGAAATCGTTGCTAAAATATTAAGTAAAAGAAATAATACAAATTTAAAATACTTAGTATAAAATCTGTTTAATTAGTATTTAATCTGTGTAATCATGTTTAAATTTTATAAATAAATTTTGAAAGTTTCTCGGAAGAAAACGATGGAAGATGTTTTCCATTGGCTTATGGCATCTTCCGATCCGTATATTTCTAGCTTCAGAAAAATTGCTCCGAAAAAGAGCAAATCTTTGTCCCGCGAAGCAATAAAACTGTTGCTATCTTCTGATGGTTTCCCATGCTCTGCTAAGGATGTGAAGTGAATCCAGTGACGGAGATTGTTTAATATATATGTAGGTATTAAATAATATCATATAAATGTAATTATAATAAACTAAATTAAGCTATTTTATAAAAAGATGTTTTACTACATTTTAAAAAGAACCTCTTACGGATTTTTAATTAATTTCGACAATATTTGATAAAAAAATTCTGATTCCAGATTCATTATCAGCGACCAAAAAAACCCCTGTATGGTGATTTTCAATTAATTCCGTCAATTTTTTGACAAATATGTCCGCCATTTTGGATCTACAATTTTGAATTTTGACATTCTGATTCCAGATTCGTTATCAGCGACCTCAAAAAACCTTGTATGGTGATTTTCAATTTATTCCGTCAATTTTTTGACAAATATGTCCGCCATTTTGGATCTATCACTTTGAATTTTGGAATTCTGATTCCAGATTCGTTATCATCGACCCCAAAAACCTCTATATACGGAGTTTTAGGAGAATCCGACTACTCCTTGATATTTTGCCGAAAATTTTGAGAATTGAAACACTGTGTGCCGGCGAAATTAAAAGGTCAGTACAATGTTCATATAAACTTTTCAAATATTGGCGTTGAGAAACTATTTAATACTCTTGTATTTTTGTATTGAGATAATAAAATAATTTTCACATTTAGTATTATTTTACAAGAAAGGCACTTTCTTTTAACGATTGAGTGACATTTGACAACTGTCAAGTAACTTAAAACTAACTTCAGCCCGTGACTAAAGCGTCATAAAGCCACAACTTGTCAATGTATATTTAAAAGGTCACTTAGTGTCATGGAAACATGTACGATAAAGGGCGTTTTAAAGGTGGGAGTAGAAAAATTACTACTCCTATTAGGGAATACGATTTTTCTAATGCCACTTTTTAATAGGGAATTACCTACATTATAAAATAATTCCATAACCATGTTAGTGTGACTCACACTGTGTGAGAATAAGTTGGACCAACAGGGTTGGTTTATTCCAAAATCATTATAGTCGCCTGTCATATAAAATTTTACATCTGTAAAACGATTTTAACCATACTTTTTTCTACTGTTATTTACTTATTTTTTGTAAGTAATTTTTATAAGCTTAAATAAGTTTACTCTAAAACACGTTTAAAATTGGATATTCCGCTCTCGTGAAACTTTCAAACTCGCCTTCGGCTCGTATGACAAAGTTTTTACTTGTACGAAATATGCTGTATTTCAAACTTAATACAGAATATTATATTTCCCTATTTAAGATGTTTCCACAACGATAATAACTGTTTGCGCCATAGGTTTGTTTGAGTATGTAGATTTTTTGATTTGTTTGCAAGTCCATATGTTAATATAAATTTAGTCGGCTATGGTTGCCATATACATATATCTATATAATAAAATAATTTAAAACAAAATTCATAAAATATATGTATCACAATAATTGTAATTATTATATAAAAATAATAATTAATTAAAAATTCTATGAAATATAATTTTAATAATCAAAATAAAAAATACAAAATAATAAACTCAAAGAAGCAAAAGAAATAAAGAGATAAGAAAAAAAAATAAAAAAGCAAAATAAAATAAAAGATATTAGAAAAAGGAGCAGAAGAAAGAAATTAGAATAAAGAAAATATTAAATTATAACTGACAACAATTTATATTCATTAAATATTAACAAATAAACAGATTTGTAAGTATAATCTTTGAAGCTATATATTTAAACTGACCTGTGGTGTAAGTATGTTGCCAATATTCGCGTCCGCATCCGTAAATGCAGAGCTTTCGCATAGATTTGGACATCTGCATCCGCATCCGGATCGGCAATAATCAATGCGGATGTTCATGCGGATGGGAATGTTATACAAGGCCACAAGAAAAAAAATGGGCGGGGTCGGCGAATAGCGCGTGCCGTTCGCAGTGCGCACGTAATCATGACCAATGGGAACATTTGTTGTGGTGCATCATGTGTTTCTTGTAAATAAATCATTACGTGTTTGTTTTCGCTGTGGATTACTTATCATATACTACAGGGATGTTGCGAATATTCGCATCCGCATCCGCAAATGCGGAGCTTCCGCATAGATTTGGACATCTGCATCCGCATCCGCGGATGTGAGCCTTTAAAAATCCGCATCCGCATTCACATCCGCGGATGTAAAAAAATCGGCATTCGCAACATCCCTGGTACGCACCAATAATAAAGGAATATATTTTAAAGACATGCTCACGATATCTAATATCCTTATTTAAAAATATTTAAAATAGTAATTTATTTTGCAAAAAAAACAACAACTGAAATTACTACTTCGCGGAATGCTTTTAACTCAATTGAATTTAAAAACAAAATTCGCTAAAGGAAAATAAAAAAAAATATTTTAATTATTTGGTAGTTGCTTCCAATGACGCAAAATAAATAATGATAATTTAAAAAAATGCGTTTTTAAAAAATGTTTTTTTAACACCCTGTATATATCTGATCAATAAAACTTTTATACTTTACTTAATTACTTTTAAGTACATCTTATAAATATTGATTTCTTTACTTACGTGTTTGGAACATTTCTCATAGTCCTGTGCCTTAAAAATATGACGACCAAAGTGCCATTTCCAATGACACCGACCACAAAAATAATAAAAAACACCACAGGCACAATGTAAGTTTCCGGTCTTTTTTCATACGGTATGTAGTCTATGATGGTCGAGTTGGCCAATCCACTTTCGTTACCATTGGTAACATTAGTGACGTTATGCCATAACCTTAAATAAGTTGTCGTATCGTTCATGGTGGCAGTACTTCAATACGAGCTCAAATCAGAACCTTGAGGTGCTCCCATAATTTTAATTCTGAAATAAGAGAAATTATTTATGGTATAAATTATTTAATTAAATGTATTAATTTATAAAACTTATTTTATACAGTTTTTATCAAATTATTGCGAGAATAAAACTTATTTATTATAATTCATTTGAATGGCTAGTCTAATAATATGGACCCCTAAAAGGCGTCACGGTTTTTTAAATCTTGGTCAATTTAAATATTTTTATAAAATTGGGACATTTATTTAATTATTTATTAATATGATCCATTAGATAAAAATGATAAAATTACAAATTTTTAGCAGTTTAAAGTAATTGTTTTAGAAAAAAAATGGATTCCTACAGTATCCCAAATTGATGTAAAAACTCATCGAGAATATTAATTAGTTAATTCGAACGATAAAGCTAAGTTTGACTAATTGACTTCGCAAGATTAAATTTAATTAAATGTCTTATCTTAGTCGCTTTTATTAGTTATTACTTACATAAACTACTTTGATTTAATTAAAGCGGTCTATACAGAAAAAAAACACTATAATAAAGCATGGACCCATTTGTTTGCGACTCACCCCTGTAAAATCTTTATTTACTTTGCGATTTTAACCGGATTTGTTTTAAAGTGTAGATCTTAATAAACTGTATTTTTGAAACAAAAAACGCCATATTTGTACAAAATACAAGGTTTACTATGTCAGTTTTTAAGAGTAAATTTTTAAGAATTCATATTAGCGATTTTTTTAAACAAAATCCAAGCACGGCACTGGATTCACCGCCCCTCAAAACGACCCTATACTAAATTTTATTGAAATATTGAAAAAGTTATCCATGAAAAAAACAATGAAATAAAATTAAACTTATAGTAATAGTACCATGTTACTTTAATTTTAGTCCAATGTTTTTTTATGGATAACTTGACAAAATAAATTTTTGTCGATATTATTGTGCATATTTCTACTTAAAATTTTTCATTAAAATTATTGAATATTTTGTAAAAATATGACGTTTTTTGCTCCAAAAATAAAGTTTATCAAGATCTACACTTTAAAATAAATCCGGTTAAAATCGCACAATAAATAAAGATTTTACAGGGGTGAGTCGCAAACAAATGGGTCACACTGTATAACAGAATAAAGGTTATAAAGTTATTACTTGAAATTATATTAAGATGAATGGTGAACGAAAAAGTAAAAAGTGTAAAAAATATTTTATTGTTACAACCACAAGGATTTCTTTTAATAAATTGCATAACATAATATTAAAACTTTCAGTAAAAAATTTTCCAGAAACAAGTATCAAAATACGGAAAGCTTATATTCGCATATTTATTTTAATATATAATTAAATATTTTATTTTTGAAACCATAAGGAATTTTTTTAATAAATTTCATAACATGTAATTAAAACTTTCACTACAAAAGTTTTGAAAAACAAGTTCGGAAATTTGGAAAGCGATAAAGTAACGCAAATTTATTTTCAAGATGAAAAGTTTATATATATTTTTTCTATGATGGTAAAAGAACATAAAAATAAAATCAGTAGATCATTTATCTTTTTGCTGTTTATCAATCCTTTCATAACAAAATATAAATACGGATATTATATATTTGTTCCTCTTTCACGCCTAAGCTGCTGAACCTATTTTGATGAACTTTGGTAAGGAGATAGTTTGACACCCAGGGACAGATTTTTATTTGTTTTGTTTTTGTTTGTTGTTTTTGTTTTGTCAGAAAGCGATTTACACAAAAAAAGTGTTTTGTGTTTTCTCACGCAATCCTATTTATCATTGACATCCCGCAGGGGCGTGGGTAGCAGGGGCGTCGGGAGCTATTTTTAATTTTTTTTACTTTACTTTCACTTTAACGCGCAGAAATGTGATTTTCAATAAAAAAAGTTCATTATATGCCGCAGAGATAGATATATATGTTACGGCTAATATGCAAACTTGGATAGTTTATAAACTAGCTGGATAGTTTATAAACTAGCCAAACTGTCAGCTATTAATTGAAAATGTATTTTCAACTAAATTAGCGGCTAGTTTACAAAATAACCAAGGATCTTGGCTAATTTACTTGAAATTATTAGGAAAACTAAAATAGCTGGATAGTTTGTATACTATCCAATTCAATTTGGCTAATATGAAAACCAAAATTTCTAGTTGAAAATATTTTTTCAATTAAAATAGCTGACAGATTGGCTAGTTTATAAACTATCCAGCTAGTTTATAAACTATCCAAGTTTGCACATTAGCCATAACATATATAAAGACAAAGATTATAGTATATTATGGATCAAGTTTGATAAACACCAATGAGAGTAACTAAAGTTGGTTAAGGAATCTGTTTTACCGGCTTTCATAATTTCAGTGTTAAGTAGTTGCCGGCGAAACCAAAAGGTCAGTACAAACGTGCATATAAGATAATAAAATAGTTTTCACATTTAGTATTATTCCACAAAAAGGGCACTTTATTTTGAAGATTGTAGGACATTTGATAACTGTCAACTAACTTAAATCTAACTTCAGCCTGTGACTAAAAAGCCCGAAAGCCATTGCTGCTAACTTCAGCCAATGACTAAAACGCCATAAAGTCACAGATTGTCAATGTGTATTTAGATTACTTAGTGTCTGTCATGTACTATAACTGGCGTTTTAAAGGTTGGAGTAGAAAAATATAAGCAAGTCACAAAGCGAAAGACACGGTTAAGAAGATTTTTTTCAGGACGTTCAATCACCAATTTTATATAATAGGTATAATAACGCTTAATAAGTTAAACTTTTTATTTTCAACTTTGAAAGCTGAATATTTTGGCCATCACATCTTTTTAAATAATAAAAGTGGAACCTTTAAGGTGGTGCGCGACTTCTGGAACAAGTTTCAGTAAGATTATCTGTCGAGTAAAAAAGTAAATGATAATGATAACGTTAGACTATGCCCATCAATCCGCATGTGAGGCTTCAACACAGAATACACAATCATGTAGAAATTGCAGCCTGGTTAGATACCGTATAACATAGTATTATTGCAAATCTGTGTAGTGAATGTTAACAAAAATTTATATGCAACTTCTACAGACATGAGTGCACACGAAAAAAAATCGATGGTTTATAGTGTAATGGGCACGATATATGGGGCAGTTAATTTTTAACATTTCTTAATTTATTTTTAAGCTTTACGAAATATGAGACTAATTTTAAATATTTGTTTTTAAAATTGTATTAGGTGTTAGGTATAAGTTTCACTTCCATACATTCTTTATTTGTTTATTATTCAATAATAATTTATGACTCCCATCTGGACGACCACTTGAGGGTTCGTTACAGAAAGACAAAATAAGCAAGTTTTGGTTCATGTTGCTGGTCTTTAAAAAATAAACATAAAAAGAGCGTGTTAAAAACTTAGAGAGGACAGTATATTTTAGGCAGTTACGTGTTGCTATTTGAAGGGATAAGTTGAATTCTTTAATTGTTAGGCAGTTACGTGTTGCTATTTGAAGGGATAAGTTGAATTCTTTAATTGTTAGGCAGTTACGTTTTACTATTTGAAGGGACGAGTTGAATTCTGTAATTTTATAAGGAAGTGAATTTAGCCAATAATACACTGATTTATATAAATTCAGTTTTTGTGAAAGTGTAGTTTATTTAAATAGGTATGTCTTTTCTATATTTAGTTATTATAATTTAAAGTCACAAATATCATAATAAGTGGTTAATTAATTTAATATTTAATTTAAACTATATTTTATTTTCTTCTTTGTTAAAGAAGTATATTTTTTTGTTGTGGTTGGACAAACTTAGTTACGTATTTATTATAATTATTATTTTATTTTTACCATTTTAAATATTTACATTTTATTATTGTTATATTGTAATGCAATGTATCATGTTATTACATATTTCTATTTAACTTTAACATACTTTGTTTTGTACAGTTTACATTATTTTATTTATTCGATAAATTGATATTCTTTATATAATATGTTGACACTTTGTTTTAATTTCTGCACATCAAAAGGTATTTTTTATTTATTTATTGGTATTTGTTTTTGTTGGTGGTTTTGGGGAGACCGGTGGATCGGCTTTCTATAGAAAAGCGCACTGATTATTCTTACCCTTAATTTATTAACAATGAACTGTTATTTATGTGTATGTTTTATTTCAGGTATTGATGTGAGAGTTTTGTTGCATTGTCTTATTTTTATTATTATTGATAATCAATTTATTTTACCATCTTTAATTTGATTTGATATACTTTTATTAATTTATTATATCTGCTTTTATTTATGACTGTACACCAATTTTATTGCATTACGGTTGTCCACCGCTATACAAGTTTTTATTTATACATTTTATTTACCACTACTATTTATTATGTTCTCTGTGACTTAAGTTACATGCTATTTTATTTTACACATTGTTTTTGTTTGTTGCTGTACATTGATAATAGTTCCAATTTGTATTTGCTATTTTAAACACCGTCCGAGCCTATCATTTATGTAGGTGAATAATCTTAACAATATGATAATATGATTGATGATATTATATTTGATTACTTGATTACTTTGATTTTGTTATATTATTTATATTGTTTAGATGTGCGACACATATGCATGTCTGGATTGTATATGTGGGTTAATAAGGTTTTACCTTATTAACTAAAATCAATAATACTTTTAAAATATAACTGTTTTTATTTATATTATTAATGTACAGTAGCAATAATATTAACTCTTTATTAATTGCCTTTATTAATAAACTTATTTTAATTTAATACTTTTTCTTTGCTTTTTAAATATCTTTTCAATTTCTCAAGTACTTACGTATCCAGAACCGTATTCACAACAAAAAGGGGTCCTAATTTAATTTCTTTAAACTAGACGATCACGTGTTTTGGCCAAAGGTAGTTTTTTTGTGGTTTTAATATTCTTTTATTTTAAGGTGCCCCCTAGCCCCAGTTCGTTACAATAGACACGTTATAAAATATTAATTAGTCAAATACATGTATAAAATCTTCTTGAAACTTTTTAAATAG